TCTCAGCTTTCATCATCTTATATTGCAATTTCCTGGTTGCTGGTCTGTTCTTCCCCTCCCCAACACGTCCTCTAAGACGATGGGCTGCTGCAGCATCTCCAGTGCCTGGCCCAGGTGTGGTGCTCAGGAAGAACACAATCACCCTGTTGTCCTCTATTCCCCTGCTGGAATGGGAGAGTCTGGTAGTCATTTTATCTTTTTTTTTTGAGACGGAGTTTCGCTTTTGTTACTCGGGCTGGAGTGCAATGGCGCAATCTCGGCTTACCGCAACCTCCGCCTCCTGGGTTCAGGCAATTCTCCTGCCTCAGCCTCCTAAGTAGCTGGAATTACAGGCACGGGCCACCGTGCCCAGCCAATTTTTTGTATTTTTAGTAGAGACGGGGTTTCACCCCATTGACCAGGATGGTTTTGATCCTTTGACCTCGTGATCCACCCGCCTCGGCCTCCCAAAGTGCTGGGATTACAGGTGTGAGCCACCACGCCGGGCTGTCATTTTATCTTTTATAGCAGCAGGTCTCAGTCTAGAGTGAGCATCAGAATCACCTGGTGGCACAGGCAGGGAGGGATTTATTAAAATACAGATTCTGGTCCCTACCCGAGTTTCTGATGCAATAGGTCTGGGGTAGGGCCTGAGAACTGGTATTTCTAACAAGTCCCCAGGTGCTGCTGCTGGTCCAGGGACCACACTTTAAGAATCGCTGTTGGGGCCAGGTGCTGTGCTCATGCCTGTAATCCCAGCACTTTGGAAGGCCAAGCTGGGCAGATCACTTGAGGTCAGGAATTCAAGACCAGGTTGGCCAACATGCTAAAACTTCGTCTCTACTCAAAATAGAAAAATTAGCCAGGCGTAGTGACACGCACCTGTAATCCCAGCTACTCAGGAGGCTGAGGCAGGAGAATCACTTGAACCTGGGAGGCAGAGGTTGCAGTGAGCCGCAATTGCACCACTGCACTCCAGCCTGGGCAAAAGAGCGAGACTCTGTCTCAAAAAAAAAAAAAAAAAGAATCACTGTCGGCTGTCCACAGTGGCTTGTGCCTGTAATCCCAGCACTTTGGAAGGCCAAGGTGGGCGGATCACTTGAGGTCTAGAGACCAGCCTGCCCAACATGGTGAAATCCCATCTCTACTAAAAATACAAAAATTAGCCAAGTATGGTGGTGGTAATCCCAGCTACTTGGGAGGCTGAGGCAGGAGAATCGCTTAAACTTGGGAGTGGAGGTTGCAGTGAGCCGAGACAGAGCAAATCACTACCTCAGGGTGTCAGTTTCTTCACTGGTAAAATGAGATAAGTACTGTTCCCACTATTCTGGGTTTTGTGAGAATCTACTGAGATAATGCAAATGAAGAACTCATGCACCCAGTAGGTACTCAATAAGTGTTAGCGATCGCTCCTGGGAGTAGACAGGAGTCACGCCAGGCAGGGAAAGCATGAACAGGAGCAGAGATAGGAAAGGGCCCAAGCCTGTCAGCTGGGCTGGCAGAAGAGCCAAGGCCCAGCACAGCAGCCAGGGAGTGTCCTGTCGAAGCAACTGGGAGCCACACACAGTTCTGGAGCTGTGTGGTGACAGGTGGAAGCTGCATGTGGCAACATGGGGCAGGAGGCTGTTGCTGGCAGCAAGTCCCATGTGCTGGAGACTTGGCTATTTGGCTAAACATAGGGTTGCCAGATTTAGCAAAGAAGATACAGCATGCCCAGTTAAAAGTGCTTTTTTTTTTCCCAGTTAAATTTGAATCTCAGATCAATAATTCATACTTTCTTTCAGTATAAGTATGTCCCAAATATTGCTTTGGCATACTTATACTAAAAAGCAGTTGCTGTGTACCTGAAATTCAGATTTACATGAGTGTCCTTCATTTCAATTGGCTAAATCTGGCAATTTCAACCAGATACCAGTTGCCTGCACCCCAACCCTTAGTCCTGCATGCAGTGGGAGACCCAGCCCTAGGATCCACTGCCTCCTTTCCCACCTTCAACAAAGCCACAGGAGTGGTTGATGAGCTGCTTCCAGAAGCCAGTCTTGCTGTTATGATGAGTGATCACAGCTGCAGGCCTGGGTGAAGGGGCCCTCTCACCTCATGCCAGGTTCACCCAGCAAGAAAGTAGAGGGGCAGAGTCACTAACTACTGGGTCTGTGACTTAACAAAGCACAATGGGTGGATGCCATGGTTCATGCCTGTAATTCCAGGACTTTGAGAGGCAGGGACAAGAGGATTGCCTGAGCCCAAGAGTTCGAGACCAGCCTGAGTGACACAGTGGGAACCGCCCCCCACATCCCTACAAAAAAAATTTTTTTTGGAGATGAAGTCTCGCCCTGTCACCCAGGCTGGAGTGCAGTGATGCAATCTCGGCTTACTGCAACCTCTGCCTCCCAGGTTCAAGTGAATCTCCAGCCTCAGACCCCTGAGTAGCTGGGACTACAGGTGCGTGCCATCATGCCTGGCTAATTTTTGGTATTTTTAATAGAGATGGGGTTTCACAGGGTTAGCCAGGATGGTCTTAAATTCCTGACCTCGTGATCCGCCTGCCTCAGCCTCCCAAAGTGCTGGGATTACAAGTGTAAGTCACCGTGCCTGGCCCAAAAATTTATTTTTAATTAGCCAGGTGTGGCCGTGAACACCTGTGGTCCCAGCTACTTGAGAGGCCGAGGTAGGAGAATTGCTTGAGCTCAGGAGATCAAGGGTACAGTGAGCCATGATGGTGCCACTGCACTCCATCCTGGGTGACAGAGCCAGACCCTATCTAAAAAAACCCAAAACAACAACAACAACCAAAATAAAGCACATAAGCTACCAAATTCTGTAAAGAAGGAAGTACCACCTACATTCTTAAATTAATGAAGAAACGAACAACTGCTCGTGATATGGGCTCATCCGGTGAATATATCCAAGCAGAGGAAAAAATGGCCTCTACCTTCAACCCCAGAAATGGGCAAACACAAGTGTCCATGCTGCTTGCGCCCTCAGAGGAAGCCTTAGAGATGATAACATGGACCCCAGGCTAGAGCGGGACAGTTTCTGCCGTATTCAGTTCCATTCAGTGTTAGGACAAGTCATGCTAGCAGAGGCTGCTCTATCTCCCTTTCTACTCCTATTCTCATCACTAAATTGGATGATTCAGAGTTCCTGAAATGAGCCTGTCAGAATGCATTTTTACTTTTCTTTTGTTCTTTTTTTTTGGGGGGGGATGGAGTCTTGCTCTGTTGCCCAGGTTGGAGTGCAGTGGTGCCATCTCAACTCACTGCAACCTCTGCCTCCCTGGTTCAAGCGATTCTCCTGCCTCAGCCTCCCAAGTAGTTGGGACTACAGGTGTGCCCCACCATGCCTAGCTAAATTTTTTTTGAATTTTTAATAGAGATGGGGGTTCACCATGTTGGCCAGGCTGGTCTCGAACTCCTGACCTCAGACAATCTGCCCACCTCAGCCTCTCAAAGTGCTGGGATTACAGGTGTGAGCCACCATGCCCCGGCCAGAAATGCAATTTCTGCAACGACCTTTATATCAACTGTTTTTCGTTTTACAAGTAACAATGAGAACTATTTGTGCTCCATCTTTAAAAATGTGTAATACAAAAAGTTGCTAAATAAAAATAAATGTGTGATAAACATCTCTGAATGAGTAATGTGTGCCCTGTGCTGGGCTCTGCAATTAATTTGACTCAGTAGTTCTCAGCCTTAGTTGTAAATTACGAGCAACTGGAGAGGTTTTTAAACTCCCAGTACCTGGGGCATCAGTGTTCGTCCACAGCACAGTGATTCTAACACACAGCCAAGGTTGAGAACCACTAATTTAATTCATCATGTAAATCCTCACAGTAGAATCCTGCAAGGTATCTTTTATCACCACCTTTGCAGATGAAATTGAGGCTCCAAGATGTATATTGACTTTGGCATCTGTAGCCCCTACCTGTGACTTCTCCTTCCTTCCTTTTCAGGCTCCCTCTAGGGATTTCCTGATGTTATGGAAAATGGTATGTGTGATGCTGCCCGCCTGGCCACCTTGACATAGCTCTGCTCCCAACAGGGCTCTTCTGAGATAGCAGTCACACACTACCTGGGATCAGGACTGATACCCTACGACTTCTGCCAAAATGAAGACGACTGAGGCCAGCCACTTCTCAAACAGGTTCTGTCACTTTGAGTCAGAATAATGGCAGCTACCTCTATTCCTCACCGCCCAGTCATTTCTAAGCCTGTCTCGTCGCCCTTGCCGCTCCGCCAACCCTTTCTTCGGTGCCCTCTCTCTTTTAGAACAAACGACTTCATCGCTAGGTCCTTCTCAGAGCAGCTTCTTTTCAGGGACCATAGGGTGTCCGAAAGGTCTTTGGGCCAGGAAAGCCGCGAACTACAGATCCAAGAGGAAAAAGCCATTCCCGGCCCAGGCCTCGCTCAAGGCCGGAGAATGAAAGGACCTTCCGCGTGCCCGGCGCACCTGGGTTCACCTGTCCCCTCCCTCGGCGCCTGCAGGCCGGGAGGGAGCGCGGCTGGGCGAAAAGGTTGATCACCGCCTGCCCTCTGCTGGCCAGTGGAGGTATTGAGTCCGCTGCCGCTCGACCAGAACATACCAGGGATGGAATGAAGGAGCGGGCATTTATGAAGCGCCTGCTGTTTGTTAGGCAATGTACCGATGAGCGCTGGGGTGTAAGGATGTACATGACCTGCTCTCAGAGTTCACATTTAAATGAAGACCCTGACATTATCAAGTAGTCTTTCAAGCAAATATGAAATTACAACTGTGGGCTATGCGAACAGACGACGCGAGGGGCTGTCCAGACTGGGGGATACGGGAGAGTTCGGGAAAAGCTGCCCCCAGGAGGGGACATCTGAGCGGCAGGCGCCGCACAGTCATTTCATGTCATCTCGAAAACCCTGCAAGGCGGCTTTCCTCCTTGACAAAACAGGAAGTGGGCTCAGATTGGGGAAGGAATTCACCCAAGATCACACAGCAAGCTGGAAGCAAATCTGGGAGGAACTAGGTCCGCCCAGTTGGGAAATCCCCACTTTTCTGGAGGTGGGGAAGGCGGCGGCACAGGGACAGTGCTTGGGACCTGTGAGCGGGGCCTGAAATGTGGCCCCGCCCCCGCCTCAGGGGCGAAAGGGCACCCTGGGTGTGGATCAGAGCGGGGGGTGGGGGCGGGGTCTTTCCAGGGGGGGTGGAGCCTGGGCAGTTCGGGGCCTGTGGAGGCTGCACCAGGATCGTGGAAGGAATGGAGTCGTGATCTCACCATGTTTTAGAAAACCCGGAAGCGCCAAGTGAGTGCGGGCCGAAGACACCTGTGGAGCCTATGCACACAGGTAGAGCCGGTGGCTCTGAGTCCAGGAACTCCAGTGGGCAGCTCCCCAGGTAGGGCCCAATTCGGGCCGGGGAAGAGATGACCCTCTCCCCTCCCCGCCCGTCTATTCTGCCATATGACATTCTTCCTTCCTTCCTGTCCGCGGGCCTGAGTCCACCGCTAGCCATAAGATGGCGACACAGGTGGAGGGGCCGGCCTCATTTTGTCCCTGTTTCCTTGGCCTAGTGGCTGCAGGCCCCCTGGACACCCAGAATGCAGAGTCTGGAGAGAAGACGACGAAACTTCCCAGGGGAGGCTGGCCCAGTTTTACCCCAGCCTGACTGTGTGACCTTGGGGAGGACAGCCACTTTCTTTCTTTCTTTTTTTTTTTTTTTTTTGAGATGGAGTCTCTTTCTTTCGCCCAGGCTGGAGTGCAGTGGCTTGATCTCCTCTTACGGCAACCTCCACCTCATGGGTTCAAGTGACTCTCCACCTCAGCCTCCCGAGTAGCTGGGACTACAGGTGCCCACCACCACGCCTGGCTAATTTTTGCATGTTTGGTAGAGATGGGGATTTGACCATATTGGCCAGGCTGGTCTCGAATTCCTGACCTTCTGATCCGCCCCGCTTAGCCTCCCAAATTGCTAGGATTACAGGCATAAGCCACCGTGCTCTGCCAGGACAGCCACTTTCTCTGGTACCCAGTGTCCTCAGTTGCAAAACAGTGTCTAGCCCTTGCCCTGCTTGCCTTGAGACTGGGCAGGTCAGATGCTGTAGCTGTTCCGGGCTGGGTGGTGCTTTCTCTATATTGGGGCAATAGGAGTACTTACTCTCCTGCTCTCTCTGGTCCTCAGTGGAGAGCCACACCCTTCATTCACCCAAATCTGGGATCCAGGAGGGCTAAGAGCTCAGTCCTAGGGCAGCTCGCTCTGGCTTCCCTGTGCTGGAGTTATAGTCTAGCATGGAAGGCTTGTGAATATCCCCGTGGTGGGGTCTGAGACCTCCAGGCCTGCCTGGAGCTCACATGCTCATTTTGCAAATAGTGGCACCACCATTGGGCAGAACCTTGAAAGCCAAGTTAAGAAGTCCAAACGCTCAACTGCTGGCAGGGGCAGTCCATCAGAGTATGACCTGCAGTGCCCACAGGACCAGCCTGCATGAGTGGGGCTGTCAGGATGCGGCTGCTGATACATGTCACATACAGGCTTTTACTGCATTCCAGAGCTTTACACGAAGTCTCTCATTAGTTACTCACATGCACCTGATGTTACTCCTATTTCAGAGGCTGAGACTGAGATTCAGAGAGAGGAAGTTACTTGCCCATGGTCACAGCTCGCAAATGGCAGAGTGGGGATCAGCACCCAGACAATCTGGTGCCTTTTCTCCTGTGGCCACCGGTGATCTGGGCACCTGGTAATAAAGCCTTGACCTAGGACAGCTGGAGAAAGGAGGGGCTGGATGAACAGGAAATTGGGGGAGAGGATTCAGAGGGCTAGTGAGGGAGGAGTAGCAATTAGTCCTAAGGGGCATTCAACTTCCTGGGAGGTGTGGGGAGATGAATAGCTGATTTTAGAAACGTTAGTTTAGAGGAGCCAAGCAGAGCTCTTCTCTGTCTGGAAAAGACCAAGGAGGGAGAGCTGAGTCCTGAGAAAAGGGGGTGCCTAAGGATGGGTGAAGACAGAGGTCAGGCTCACAGGAGGACCCCAAAATGCCTAGCAGGCAGAGAAGAAGGAGGTTGGTGAAGCAGGAGGAAGAGAGCGAGGAAAGAATTCTGGACTCCCATGACATTAGAGCTGAGATGAGTCTAAAAAACTGAGTCCTTGGTTCATAGAAGGGGAAATCAAGGCCAGTCAGTTACTTGCCTGAGCATACTCCAGGGCTGGATCTGAGTGGGACCCTGGGTGCCATTTCTGCTATTCTGCTTTTTCTACTAGATCAGTGGCTCTCAACTGGAGGCAATTTTGTCCCTTAGGGGACATTTAAAAATGTCTGGAGATTATTTGGCTGTCAAAACCTGGAACTGCAGGGGATGAAGTGCTACTGGCATCTAATGGGCAGAGGCCAGGGATGCTGCTTAATATCCTACATTGCATCCACCCACCCCCCAGCAAAGAATTATCTGGCCCCAAAGGGCAATAATACCAAAGCTGACAAACTGCACTAGGGCTTATTAGGGCAGAGAGCTCAGGCTCAGGCGTCCAGCTGGACAGACCTTTGCCCGACCCCAGCTCTGCTCCTCCCCATGCTTGCTCCTTAATTCCTGGAAGCCTCTGGAGTCCTCTCTGCTTTTCCTGGGCACAGTGGTTTAGAGGTCTGTGCACCAAGTGTCTGTCACCACTCTGTCTCCCCAGACCTGTATTCAGAGTTTGGCATTAGGTAGGGAGAAACCAAAGAGGAAATGTTCCATCTAGCACATGGCAGGCGCCTTGCAGATAAACTTGAATTTGAGTGACACGTTAGGGGTCTGAAGAATTTGTATTTCATTCCATTTGCACTTTAGCAATTCTTATTGTGTCTTACATTTGTGAAGCACTGACACGGACTGAGATAAGCCACTGCTTCATCCGATGTCCCAGGATGGGCAGGATGTGGGCATTATCTGAGAAATGCTGTGGGGGGCGGGGCTCTTGTTGTTCAGGCTCTTCCAAGGGTAGGCTGTGGACTGGGAACACAAAAGCCATTCCTTTCAAACACACGAAAGGCTGCAGGAATCACCTGGGGATCCTGTTAAAATGCAGGTGCTAGGCCAGGCATAATGGCTCATGCCTGTAGTCCCAGCATTTTGGGAGGCCAAGGCAGGAGGATCATTTGAGTCCAGGAGTTTGAGACCAATGTGGGCAACATAGTGAGACCCTATCTCTACAAAATAAATCTAAAATTTAGCCAGGCAGGCATGGTGGTGCATGCCTGTAGTCCTAGCTACTCAGGAGCCTGAGGCAGGAGGATCACTTGAGCCTGGGAGGTAAGCCATTTTGGTGCCACTTCACACCAGCCTGGGTGACAGAGTGAGACCCTGTCTCAAAAAAGAAAAGAAAAAGATTTGGCTGGGTGCGGTGGCTCACCCCTGTAATCCCAGCACTTTGGGAGGCCGAGGCAGGTGGATCATGAGGTCAAGAGATCGAGACCATCCTGGTCAACATGGTGAAACCCCGTCTCTACTAAAAATACAAAAAGCTAGCTGGGCATGGTGGCACGTGCCTGTAATCCCTGCTACTCAGGAGGCTGAGGCAGGAGAATTGCCTGAACCCAGGAGGCGGAGGTTGCGGTGAGCCGAGATCGCACCATTGCACTCCAGTCTGGGTAACGAGAGCGAAACTCTGTCTCAAAAAAAAAAAAAAAGAAAGAAAAAGATGCAGTTGCTGATTCAGTAAGGCTGAGTTAGGCCTAAGTTTCTGTTTCACGCAAGCTCCCAGGTGATGCTGATGCTGATGTTGCTGGTGCATGGACCACATTTTGAGTGCAGGGCATTGCAGGGCTGTGTGGAAGTGGCCATGGGCCGTGCCACCCGATCTGCAGCCAACTCTGGGGTGGTGTGGAACCATGGAGTAGAAGGAGACCATGCTCTAGAGTCAGGAGAGCTGGGAATGAGTCATCTCTCCCCTCCCTGTACCCCTTCTATGGCCTGTCAGCTTAACGGAGTTGAATAGTCACTTAACCTTTGGTAAGTCACTTAGCTTCTTTGCTAAGTGGTCTTGCATGGCAGGCTGTCCTCAGGGTCTGAGAGAAGCAAGTGCCCTGTGCAGATGGGATGGTCTGGGTCTTGGCAGGCAGAGGGGCAGCCGGCCACTGGACTGGCCAGCAGGGCGGGAGTGATGAGCTGAAGCCGGTGGCGCAGGCACTGTGTCAACTTGGAGAAGGTTCTCATTATAGCCCTGGCTTTTCTCTGAGGCTGCCTCCGCCTTCTGCTCTGGGCTCACCCATCCCTGCCAGGTGTGGGAAAGCTGGAGAGACCGGTCTGGCTGGGGCAAGGCCAAGGTCTGATTGTGGGTTCTGAGGGCCTAGCCAGCCGAGCCCTGGTTTGAGGAGCTGGGGTTAGGACTGAAGTTGGGGTCTGAGGACTACAGCCTGGACACTGTGGGGTCACAGTGTCTTTCCACCACAGAAACGGGGAAGGAATTTGTAGTTTGGGACCTTAAGCCCCTAGCTATAGGGGATGCTCTGCCTTGAGCATCTGACCCCAGGAATGGGGCTAAATAAAGCCTTGAATGCTGGGGTGCTCCCACATCTGCTCCCCGATAAATCAACTACAACAGCCCAGCAAGGCACCTTCCAACTCCCAGGACCAGGAGGCAGAAAGACAGCTGAGCCCATTTCTCAGAAGGAAAATGGAGGCTCCTTCCTTCCCACTTACTGGGAAGAGAAGAGCACTGGTTAGCATAGTCGCCCATTCTCCAGCACAGCCCTGGGCCTGCTATCTAATGAGGCTGCCCCTCTGCCCATCCCCTCCTGTTTTCATGGTTGGACCATCCCAGTGGAACCACACATACCTGGGTTCAGATCTCAGGTTCCGTCCTTCATAGCTAGGAGGCTCTGGGCAGGTTACTCCACCTCTCTGAGCCTCTGCTGGCTCATCTTTAAACAGAAATAATGATACCCGCTCAGCCAGCCTCACAGGGTTGTTGTGAAGATGAAATGTGCTGTGCCCACTGACCACTGTGGTCATTATCATTAGTCATAGCATTTAGAGGCACAAGGCAACTGGATGTTGTCTTACCTACACCCTGTTTTACAGATGTGGAGGTTGGCACTTGGAGAAGGGAGGCAGCCAAGAGGTCCCTTGGCAGGGCAGTGGGCAAGCTGGGGTTAGACCCACATCTACGGGTGCACCTCCCATAGCACGGCTGCTGCCACCTGGGGGTTTAGGTGGTCAGGCTGCAGGAGCTTCTTGTGGAGGGGCTGGAGCAGACTTTGTGCAAGTCACTGCCTTTGTTTGCCAGCACCAACCATGAATTACGTGGGGCGAGTGTTGGAAACGATGAAGGAGCTGTACCGGGGCCTGAACCCGGCCACGTTGAGCGGCAGCATTGACGTGCTGGTGGTAAAACAGTTGGATGGCTCGTTCCGGTGCTCACCCTTCCACGTGCGTTTTGGGAAGCTGGGTGTCCTGCGGTCACGGGAGAAGGTGGTGAGTACTCAGGCTGGCTGAGGTGACCACTGCAGGGTGGGCTTTTTAAGCCAGGGCAGCCACTACAGTCCCAGGACAGGCCCTGGGACCTCCTCTAGGTGGGGATCTTTCCTCTGGACACGCTTCCCTTCGTTTGTACTTTCTTAGAAGGTTTTTGGGTAGATTTGGGGGTTTTGGTCTGGGAGGGTTCACAATTTCTCATGGAAACAGATCAGTAGGGCTTATCCCAGTGCTGGGGCCATCAGACCTGGCTCAGCTTACTAAGACTGTACCTGTGTGTTCTTGGTAAGTCACTTCATATCTCTGAGCCCAGTTACTTTACTTTCACAAATGGACATGATTTTATCTGCCTAATGATGCTGGTAGAACAAGTCAATAGCAACTGATAATGCTCTCCCAGGGCCAGATATGTGGGTAACACTCAAAAGTTAATTTCTCTCTCTTAATAAATACACTTCAGGCCGGGCATGGTGGCTCATGCCTGTAATCCCTGCACTTTGGGAGGCCAAGGCGGGTGGATCACCTGAAGTCAGGAGTTTGAGACCAGCCGGACCAACATGGAGAAACCCCATCTCTACTAAAAATATAAAAATTAGCTAGGTATGGTGCTGGGCTCCTGTAATCCCAGCCATTTGGGAGGCTGAGGCAGGAGAATCATTTGAACCCAGGAGGCAGAGATTGCAGTGAGCCAAGATTGCTCCATTGCACTCCAGCCTGGGTGACAAGAGTGAAACGTCTCATAAATAAATAAATAAATAAATAAATAAAATCCACTTCACTGGGTTCAGGCGAGTGCAGCAGAGATTTTTGTTAGCAGCAATGTCTAGTGTATGAATCAAGATTCATACTGAAGCAACTGTGACATTTCCAGAATCCTAATAGGAAAGTGTAGCCTATAGGAAACAGTATATCTAAAAGGCTAATAGCTTGCCTTGAAGACCCAGCCTTTTTGGCTTCATAGGCTCACTTGCTGTGAGGCTGCCTCCTAGGGAGTTACTTAAACCCCCCAAGCCTCAGTTTCCTCATCTATAAAGTGGAGGCAAGGATAGGAGCTACTGCAAGGGGTTGTTGCCAAGATTAAATGAGATAATCTATAGAAAACATTCCACAAAGGGCCAGTATGCTGACATTCTCACCATTGTTCACGTGGTCAGTAACCCGGGGTCTGGGGGCACTGCGATCATAAGAGAGATCACGTCCTTATTCTTGAGGGTGTGGGAGAGGGAGGAATGTGGAAGCCAGGCCATACACAAGAAGACTGAGACAGTGACAAGTGCAATCAGGCCCAGACAATGGGGCAGTGTGAGTGAGGGGGAGATGGGTAGGGAGCTCAGTGAAGGCCTCTCCGAGGAAGGGGAGATGCGGCAGAGCCCCCCATTGTGGGAAGCAGCCAGGCTCTTGAGTTCTAGAGGGAGAGAACCCCAGCAAGGATGGCACTTGGGACAGCGAGGAGCCACTGGAGGACCAGCTGGGAGGCCAGTGCTCTGAAGCATGAGCATGAGGGCCCATGTCCCTGCCACCACTCTCCATTTGCAGGTAGACATTGAGATCAATGGGGAGCCTGTGGACTTGCACATGAAGCTTGGGGACAGTGGGGAGGCCTTCTTTGTCCAGGAGCTGGAGAGCGATGAGGTGAGTTTGGCCCTTCTAACAGTACCTGGCCCGCCCGTCTCTTCCCTGTGTCTCCTCTCAGTGGAGCCTTGGGATTTGTCACCATCATTGCCCTTCCAGGGGAGTACCCCACCAGCGGAGATCTGAGGCAGGGGTGTCAGCTGGGGCTGGCCTCTGGAACACATGATATGCCCACAGGAAGGGGCCAGGGTACCAGCTGACTCTACTTACTGGGAAGTTGGGGAGGGTTTCTCAGAAGACTAGACCCCTGAGCTGGGCCCCTATGGGATGAAAAGGAGGCCTTCCCCAGGCAGCTTGGAGAGGAGGCAGGAGCTGAAGAAGGGGGCTGGAAAGCATACCATCTGGCTTTTCCCGGGTCTGGTGCCAGCTTCGTGCAGCTAGAAGCTAGAAGTGTGTAAGTGGCGGGTGTTTGCGCAGGGGAGGCAGGGCCCAGCAGAAGCCAACAGAGGAGTTGAAACTGAACTTGAAAAACTTTGAGTCCCTACTGTATGCCAGACACCATGCAACAGACTCAGATGAGGGGTGACCCCTGCCTTCAAGAAAGTTCAAGACTGGTCTGGAAGCTGGACATGTAAACAATGGATGATGAACTATTTGGTCATTGCAGTCATTGGAACTGGGAGAGGGATGGCCAAGCCTCCTTCCTAGAGGTGGAGACATCTGGCTGAGCCTTAAAGGAGAAGTAGATGTCTGCTGCAATAGACTTGGGCATAGGAGGAGGTCAGAGGCTAATGCCAAGATCTCTGCCTGGCCTGCCAGGATGGTGGGTGGCTCTGTTAGGGAGCTATGAGGCTGTTTTCCTGACCCTAAATGAGCTCACTCCAGGGCTGTGACCCAGGCAAGGCTCAGGATGACTGTGGTGAGAGCAGCCCCCCAACTCAGCTCTTGGTCTGTTCCACAGGAATACGTGCCTCCCCGCCTCTGCACCTCACCCATCCCTTGGGGGGGTCTGTCTGGCTTCCCCTCAGACTCCCAGCTGGGCACTGCCAGTGAGCCTGAGGGCCTCGTCATGGTGGGCACAGCCTCCACTGGGCGGAGGAAGAGACGTCGCAGGAGGAAGCCCAAGCAGAAGGAGGATGCAGTGGCAACTGATTCTAGTTCAGAAGAACTGGAGGCGGGTGCTGAGAGTGAGCTCTCAGCTCTGCTGGAAAAGCAGAGGCCAGAGCCCTCAGGGTGTGTAAGGACCAAGGGACTTGAACCCCAGTTTGGGGGATCAAGTGCTATTTCCTATCCTCATGCTGTGTGACTTTGGGCAAAGGCCTTGACCTCTCTGGGCAGTAGTTGCTTCACCTCACCAGACTTTCATACCTGCCTGGGGTATCCTGCCCGATCAGTGACCATTTCCTTGTGGCCCCTCAGCAGTGTCCAGTTGGAAGACAAGTCATCACCGAAACCCGAAGACATCTACCCCTACTCCGATGGCGAGTGGTCCCCCCAGGCCAGGTGAGAGTCCAGATGGGCTGCAGGCCAGGACTCCAGATTAAGGTTTCAGGTTTCAGTTTGCATTTTTCCTGATGACTAATGACACAGAACTCATTGAATGTGTTTACCAGCCATTTGTATTTCTCCTTTGTAAAGAGTTCAAGTCTATTACTGATTTTTTTTTAATTGTGGTAAAATATACATAACATAAATTTACCATTTTAACTATTTAAAAGTGTATACGATTCAGTGGCATTAAGTACATTCACGTGTTGAAGGATCATCACCACTATCTAATTCCAGAACATTCCATCCCCCAAATGGAAACCCTATGCCCATTAGGCAAGCCAGCCACAACTTGGCCGCCTTCCTTTTTACTTCTTTCTTTTTTCTTCTTCTTCTCCTTCCTTCCTTCTTTGCCCTCTCTCTCACTCCCTCTCTCCCTCCTTCCATCCCTCTGTCCCTCAGTCCTTCTTCTGACTGGATTGTCTTCTTATTGTTGATCAGCAGAAGTTCTTCATATATTTATGTACTCTTTAGATCTTTCTATATTCCTTAGATATTCTGGATTCAGCACAGGCTTAAATATGGGTTGCACATATTTTTTCCACTGGCTGGGGTGGGCAGCAGGAGAGATGGGTAGGCTGGCTCAGGGCCTCTGAATTTGTTTCCTGCAGCCTCTCAGCAGGTGAGCTAACATTCCCTAAGAGTGACTCGGAGCTGGAGGTGCGGACCGTGGAGCCCAGTCCCCTGAGAGCCGAGTCCCACATGCAGTGGGCCTGGGGGAGGCTGCCTAAGGTGAGTACCTCTGTATCCACCCCAGTCCCTGTCCTTCAGGGGTTCTGTGGCCCCCATGGGTCAGGGTTAAAGGGAGTAAAATTCGGGCCACCTCCCCCAAGGCTTTGTGGGACATGGGTGGCAGGCCCTGCCCTGGCCCCCATCTTCCTCCATTTGTTCCACTGAAGGTGGCCAGAGCTGAGCAGCCCAAGTCCTCAATGGTCCTTGAAGGCAGAGCCGGGACAACCTCTCCTCCTCGGGGAGGACCCAGCACTCCCTCTACATCTGTGGCTGGCAGCGTGGACCCTTTGGAACACCCGATCCTGCAAACAGAGGCTGGCCCTGACCTGCTTCAGCTTGACACAGAGGATCCCACTCTAGTGGGCCCTCCTCTCCACACCCCAGAGACAGATGAAACAAAGACTCAGAGCTCTGGGGATGTGGGCCTCCCTCCTGCCTCCAAGGCATGGAGCTGGGCCACTCCGGAGGATCCAGTTCCCACCAGGCAGTCAGAGAGGGTCTCCAGGGGGAAAGGTGAATGATGCTCGGTCCCTCCTACTGCTTCCCTGTCCTCACCCTGTCCCCTGGGTGGGTGCTGGGACTTCAAGTACATTTTGAGCACCTGCTATGTGCCAGGTGCTGTGCTTGGCACCAGCCCCATGAGGCTTACAGTGCAGTGTGGGAGACGGAGGCTGCACATGTGGAAGGGCCTGCCATGGGCATAGTCACTGGTTGGGATGGGAGCTGTTTAAACCAGGTGGTCAGAAAAGGCCCCTCCGAAAAGGTGATGTTGAAGCTGAGACATGGGTAATGAAGATTCAGCCAAGCAAGGAGCAGGGGAAAGGAATTCTAGGCAGAGGAAACTGTGTGCCAGGGATATAAGGCTCGAGAAAAGCGTCATGTCCAGAAACTGAAGGCAGCTAGCATGCCTTGAATGAGAAGTGGGTGATGCTAGGGGTAGGAAGTCAGAGAGATGAGCAGACTCAGCTCCAGCTCACAAGCTCAGGTTTATCTAAGAGTGCTGGGAAAGCACAAGGCTTGTGCTGTCCAAATCCATAGCCACTGGCTATATGTGGCTATTTAAAATCAAATTAGGGCCAGTGAGATGGTTTATTCCTGTGATCCCAGCACTTTGGGAGCCTGAGGTGGGAAGATTGCTCGAGGAGTTCGAGATCAAGCCTAGGCAGTGTAGCGAGAACCCATCTCTACCAAAAAAAAAAATTTGTTTTTTAACTAGTCAGGCATGGTGGCATGTGCCTGTAGTCCCAGGAGTTCGAGGCTGCCGTGAGCTATGATCACACACTGCACTCCAGCCTGGATGACAGATAAATAAAAATAAACATGAAATTAATTGAAATTAAAATATAGAATTCCATTTCTCTGTCACACTGTGATCACATTTTAAGTGTGCTCAATAGCCACATGTGGTAGCAGCCAACCTATCAGACAGTGCAGACATGGGACATTTGTGTCACTGCAGGTGGTTCTGCTGGGCAGCACTGGCTTAGGGAATTCAAAGTAAGAGGGCACTTCCTGCTCACACTGCTGAGCACGTCAGCTCTACAGGTATCCTCTCTTCCACCTCAGGCTCCCCAAAGAGAAGCCAGCACCTGGGCCCCAGTGACATCTACCTGGACGACTTGCCCTCCCTGGACTCTGAGAATGCAGCGCTTTACTTCCCCCAGAGGTGCCTGTGTTCTGGATGCCAGGGGGTCTTGGGTCTGGGCTCCTGGGGCCAAGGGTCCACTATCAAGGGCCTGGGAGGAGAGAGGACCCATCTCCCACCCTCCTTGCATTCATGTCATTGTTGGCCCCTTTGCTCACAGTGACTCCAGGCTGGGGACCAGAAGATGGAGTGAACCCAGCAACCAGAAGCCCCTGAGGGACCCCAACCCTGAACACGAACCTGAAGCCACTCCGGACACAGTGGAGACAATAGCACTGTCCCTCTGTGGTGGACTGGCTAACAGCCGGGACATCTCCCCAGGTATGCTTGACTATGGCCCAAGGCCTTCTGAGGATTGGTGCTGAGCCCAGGGATGGGGAGAGCAGGGAAGCCCTCGAGGGTGGGGCAGTAGAGATGGGAGGCTGGGCTTCCCTGCAGCTCTCTGTCCTGTGCAGCCCACACTCCGCCAGCAGGTGCTGGACATTCCCCAGTCCCCATGGAGCAAATGCCTGATGCTAAGTTGTGAGTTATGCTGTGAATCCTGGGGTGGGAACAGGTTCATAAATCATAGATAGGGAGGAGCCCTGCCAGGTTACAGATCCAACCAACAGAGGTGAGGAGCAGAGTGGGGAGCACCAGGTGGCTGAGGCAGCAGGTCACCTGGGATGTGCCAGCTTCACCCCTCACTCTCTGCCTCTGTGCCCAGAGAAATTCAACCAGCACAGCGTCTCCTACCAGGACCTCACCAAAAACCCCAGTCTTTTGGATGACCCAAACCTAGTGGTGAAAATCAATGGGAAGTAAGTCCCAGGGCTGGGGATGCTGGTGGCTGAAGAGTCATCCCACGACCCTGCAGCTGCTGCAGCTGTGATGCCCTGTTCTGTCTCTCTAGGCATTATAACTGGGCTGTGGCTGCCCCCATGATCCTCTCTCTGCAAGCCTTCCAGAAAAGCTTGCCCAAGGTAATGGTTAGAGCACCACTGCCTGTGCTGGGGAAAGTGGCCATAGCCTCGGGGCAGGGAGACCCTTGGCAAGGAAGTGAAGGGTGAGGAGAAATGGGCCTGGGGGCCAGGGGCTGGCTGGCTGCAAGATCCACTCTGGAAGAGGCAACACAGATCCCTGAAGTCTTGCCCTACCCTTCCCTGGTTTTCTGGCCATGGAGGAATCCTGTTGGATTTAAACTTAACTTCAGAGGAGCTCAGGACAAAAGAGGGGGGAGAAAAATCCAACAGGTGCTTAAACAAGGCATGTCTTTAGCAGGAAGCCTTTGCAGCTGAAGTATGGGAGACCTTTGGAGCTGAACTATGGGTTTGGGAAATGGAAGTTGCACCCTTCACCTTGCCTGCAGACTGTTCCTCCAGGCTGGGCTGAAGGGTGCTTACTTTCTTTATCTACACGTATTTCTTGAGTATCTACTATGTGCCAGACCTAGGCTGGGGACGGTCAGGAATAAATGCAACAAAATTATCCCTGCTCTTGAAGGAAGACAAAGTTAACCAAAGATGAATATAATTCAGCCCTGAGTGCTGGGAAGGAGAGGTGTGTAGTGCCTGGAGGCAAGGGGTTTTGATAAGCAAGTGCCCACTGGGCAGAGTAAAGGATGGGTGGGCCTTGAGCTGGCCAGGGATAGGGAACAGCATGTGTAATGCCCAGAGTGGGAAAAGAATGAAGGAATACCCAGCCTCTTTACTCCTTCCCAGAACCTCTTCCCTGGTCTTCCCAGCCACCTTCTCCTACTCATGGAGGATGCTGCCCTCCTGGGCAGTGCCAGCCTGTGCCAACCTGCACCTGGCCCTCTGGGAGCAATCCAAGGCACCACCCTGACCTGGCGTGGCCTATTGTTCTTGGCTTGTCCAAAGAGCGTCACTAACAGATGTTGACAGCTGTCACTGCCATTGGGTGACAGCTTCATCCTTTAGCTGGTGCAGGGTCTGAGCTAGGACCCTGAGTCTGTGGGAAGGAAGAGGGTCCCTTCTCTGCTTGGATCTCCTCACCTTACCCAGACAGACCTACCACTTGAGGCTCCTGAGAGACCCCTGCCCCACCAGCCTGTTCCCAGTTCAGGATGGTCCCGCGGCTGTTCCCAGCCCAAGCCCACATCCCCCTGACTTGGGTTCTCCACTCTGCATCTGTAGGGTGCCATTGTGTCCCCCAGATGGGCCTTGGGCTGGGCTCTCCCTGGGGTTATCTATAAAAGCATAGATCTAATCGACATTTTTTCACAAGGTCAACTTGCCCCACCAGACAGTGATGGTAACATACAGAAAGGGGGCTGTTTGTGGGAGAGGATCACCGACCTTACGAGGTTGCCTGGGGCAGCCTTAGCCTTGGAGGTTAAGGGGAGTGCTGGCTAATGATTGTTCTTCGTGCTACAACTTGGTTGCAGCATGCAGGGAGTACCAGATCTTGAGAAACTCCCAAAGCATTGCCTTTAGCTACGCTAGTAGGGGAATGGATCCACAAGTTTTGGAGGCCAGGTTGAGGCTGGGTTAGAGATAGGGGTCAGGGCTGAGGTGGGGCTGGGGGCAGGAATAGCCCATGGTCTTTTGAGCATAGCTCACTGGAGTCATTGCTTGGAAGCCCAGGATGGAGGTGAGGATGCTTCCTCAGCCTCCAGATGTGGACAGCACCTTGCTGTAGGGTTGGCCCAGACTCTGGGCTCATGGCGGGGAGGGTCCTAAGAACAGCATAAGGTAGGAGGTTTATGTGGTACTGGAAACAATGCATGGCTTTCATCTGCCCACAGAGCACCATGGACAAGCTGGAGAAGGAGAAGATGCCCCGGAAGGGTGGGCGATGGTGGTTTTCCTGGCAACGCAGTGACTTCCTGGCTGAGGAGGTGGATGGTCACAGTTGAAGGGCAGGGCCAGGGCCGGCACAGGGAAGGAGGTGGGTTCACTAATGGATGTTCTTTCCACAGCACAGTGCCCAGAGGGAGAAGACTGCAGCTAAGGAGCAGCAGGGGTGAGTGAGACCCCTGTGTGGGGCTCTGCAGTGGGAGCCTGGGAAAGAGGGCCCTGGGTTGCGGGGCAACAGGGAGGAGCCAGCACCCTGTCTCCAGCATGGGTTTTCTTTGCCATTCCTCGAGCACCAAGCACTTCTTTTTTCTTTTTTTGAGATGGAATCTCACTGTCACCCAGGCTTTAGAGTGCAGTGGCACAATCTCGCCTCACTACAACCTCTGCCTCCCTGGTTCAAGGGATTCTTGTGCCTCAGCCTCCCAAGTAGCTGGACTACAGGCATATGCCACCATGCTCGGCTAATTTTTTTGTATTTTTAGTAGAGATGGGGTTTCACCCTGTTGGCCAGGCTGGTCTCGAACTCCTGACCTCAGGTGATCCACCCACCTTGGCCTCCCAAAGTGCTGGAATTACAGGCGTGAGCCACCGCACCTGGCCCCGCAAGCACTTCTATACCTTTTCTTTTTCCTGAGAAATGGCCTGGCCTGGAGACGAATTTCCTGGCCCACAACCAGGAAATGGCAGAGCTGGCACAGGTGCTCAGGCTCCTGGCCCAGACAAGGGGATCCCTATTAAGGAGGAGCAGGGCCTCTCTCTCCCAGCCCACATAAGCCAGCTGACTTTGCTTCCTTTTTTCATCTCTAAAGTGACCCAGCTGCCTGAGGCTGGCTGGAAGGTTGCTAAGGATGGCCTGACTGAAGCTAAAGCAGGTGGGGCTGGGAATAGGCTCGGAGATATACTTTAGGTATTTCAGGTAAATATCTCCAAGGCAGGCAATGAGGGCTGGCAGCCCTGGGTCTCAGCCCCCTCTGCTGTCATCTGGCTGGGTGGAGACTACCAGCCTGTACCCATGTCTGCCACCACTCCACATGGGTGGAGCCTAGAGGGAGGGATCACTGCTACCCTGTAGGCCCTGGTGTGGCGGGGACAGGCCCAGGCTCCTCTTGGCATCTCCTGGAAGTGAAGGCCCTTTGGCTGAAGGAGATGGCCTGAGAGCCAGTGCGGTCCGCAGGGAGAAGACAGAAGTCCTGAGCAGTGATGACGATGCCCCAGAGAGCCCTGTGATCCTCGAGATCCCCCCCCTGCCACCCTCCACTCCAGTTTCCACTCCTACCTACAAGAAGTCCCTCCGCCTCTCCTCTGATCAGATTGTAAGTGTGCCTTGTCTGTGTGGAGGCTGGGGAGAGGCTGAGCTAATTCTGTCTTAGAGTTCCTCAGGACCCAGCTGAGAAATGGCTCTGGGGAATCACGCCTTCACCAAAGGCCAGAATTTATCCCTTTGGGAGCCTCCCTGATGGCCTCCATTTGAATACCTCCAAGGGCAGGACACTCACTTCTTCACATGCCAGCCCATTTGTCTGTCAGACACTGGGAAAGCTGTCTCTTAGGTCCTCCTGAAATAATCTACCTGTAGTGAATCAGCAGGCTCCGGGTCAGCCCTTGGAAGCAACACTAAAAAGAATCAAATGCTGATGACAGCCCCCTCAGATTCTGGCAACTCTAAGCCCTAAGTCACATCTTCTCTAAGCTCAGTAACTGGTGACTCCTGGAATAAGAACATTATTTTCTTCATGGGTGTGGCTCCATGGTCAGGGAGGTGTGCGGGAGGGGCTGACCAGCCAGTACAAGGCAGCTGCCATCTATCTGGTACCCTGGAGCTCACACTCAACTCAGGCTTTGGTGGGGAGTGACCCTGATCCTTCTCTATGGACCGAGTACAGGGTTATGTCGACTCAGGCACCCTAGCCCCAAGGAGGGGCTTCCTATGGAGATCCCCACAGGACCCCCATCTATAGAGGTGTGTGTCTCCCTACCAAGAGCAGCCCCAGCCTTGGGACTGGCCTGGGAATCTTGGGCAGCGAGTCACGGATGCAACTTTGTGAGTTACATCTCAAAGGGGAATGAAGGGAGGCTAGGGCTCCTGTGGCCTGCACTGGACAGGGCCCTGATCAGCACAGCCATCCTCTGCCCACGTGGATGTGTCGGTGTGTGGCTATCTCGGATTAATTCAAGAGTCTCTGAGCTGGGAGGAAGAGGAGAATGAGAGGCCTGAGGGGATCGGAGGCCATGGGGTAAGGGGACAGGTAGGCAGTGCCTGCTGTGCACGATCACAACGTACCCCTCTTTGGCCTCAGCGGTGCCTGAACCTGCAAGAAGGTGCCAATGATGTGGTCTTCAGTGTGACCACTCAGTACCAGGGCACCTGCCGCTGCAGGGCCACCATCTACCTGTGGAAATGGGACGACAAGGTGGTCATCTCTGACATTGACGGCACCATCACCAAGTGAGGCCCAACTGGTTGTGGGAAGGGAAGGGAGAGAGGGGCTTCGGACTCACCTCCCTCTGTGCTGGGAGTGGTGGGGACAGTAAGGGGGCCTTCCCTTCCTGGTGGGCCATCCTGAGGCTGGAGCTGGGCCATGTGGAGCTGCCTTGGAGTGACCCTTCCACTCTGGCTCTAGGTCGGATGCTCTGGGCCACATCCTGCCCCAGCTGGGGAAAGACTGGACACACCAGGGCATCACTAGTCTCTATCGCAAAATCCACCTGTGAGTGCCTGGGCTGGGACTGAGGCAGGGTCCCCAGCTCTAGAGAGGGAGAGACAGGACAGGACATCTTGGGACCAGCAGGGCCCACAAGGGAGGCTGCCAGGGCAGGTGCCTGGAGTGCTGAGACCTCTCTAATGGCCTGCAGTTCTGTGAAAGGCTCATCCCCTGGGGCTATATTCTAGGATCAGGGCCCACCTACTGGCCTCAGGCCGGAGGGGAGGCCTTCTCCATTTGCTCCACCCAGGCCTCAGGACTCCATGCAGGTCCAGCTGAGTCCACTGCTGAGGGCTTCTCCCTTAGACCTGGCCGTTCTCCCCATGTCCCCTCCCTGCAAAGATTGGAACCTCAGAGACCCACAGTTGGGCTGGGCAGGCTGAAGCCAAGTAAGCAGATGGGGCTGGCTGGTCTCTGATGGTTCTATGCCACCTTGTCCCTCACTCTCAGAAATGGGTACAAGTTCCTGTACTGCTCGGCGCGGGCCATCGGCATGGCGAACCTCACCAAGGGGTACCTGCAGAGCTGTAGCCTCCCCCAGGGCCTTGTCCTCTTGTCTCCCAGCAGCCTCTTCTCTGCCCTCCACAGGTAACCACCCCTACACATACAAGCCCATGGCCCACTGCCAGGCCAGCCTTAGCTCTCAGGTGACAAGGAGGGTGGGGTCAGACTCCCCCGTCACCTGAGCCTGCCATCCCCTCTGGCTTCTTCCCCACTTTGGCCCCTGTCCCTGCTGTGGCTCTGGCCACCCCAGAGAGGTGATTGAGAAGAAGCCAGAGGTGTTCAAGGTCGCCTGCCTGAGTGACATCCAGCAGCTGTTTCTGCCCCATGGACAGCCCTTCTATGCTGCCTTTGGGAACAGGCCCAATGTGAGTATGTCCCCCTCTGCTGAGCCACCTCTCCCCAGCTCCCTGCTTGCCTCTGTTTCACGGGCTCCTCCTCGTCTCCCACAGGATGTCTTTGCCTACCGGCAGGTGGGCCTACCTGAGTCCCGCATCTTCACAGTCAACCCCCGGGGAGAGCTCACCCAGGAGCTCATAAAGAACCACAAATCCACGTGAGGCCAAACCCTGCCACATGTTCCCCATGCCCTGCCACGCCCCCCTCCCCTGGCTTCTCCCTGGGCCCCAAGTTCACCTCTCACCAGGGAGTGTGTCCCTTACCCTGGACTCCCATGGCAGGGGCCATAGTTTGGTGGCAGCTCAGGCTCAGTGCTGGCCCCGTTCTGCCTGTAGGTACGAGAGGCTTGGCGAGGTGGTTGAGCTCCTCTTCCCACCTGTGGCTCGAGGCCCCAGCACAGACCTGGTCAACCCTGAATACAGTAACTTCTGCTATTGGAGGGAGCCACTGCCTGCTGTGGACCTTGATACCCTGGACTGAACCTGTCCTGGCTGGCCCCTCCTCCCTGACCTGGCCCAGCACTCACTAGGTGCCCTGGGGTATAGGAGGGTGGGAGCTGGAGTGCCACGGGGCAAACCCACTGAAGGGGAAGAGGGGCTGCAGGCTGGCTGGCAGCTGGAAAGATCAGCCCATCTTCCCGGTCCTGTGTACGGTCTCTGCCAGCTGAGCTGCAGCTGCTCCAGGCATCAGTGTGGCACTTGCCTGGGGCAATTAGTTTGTCATCTGGGCCCCTGTAGATTTCCCTCTTTTTTTTTTTTATTTTCTGAGACCGGATCTTGCCTCTGTTGTCCAGGCTGGAGTGCAGGGGCACGATCTCAGCTTACTGCAACCTCTGCCTTTGGGTTCAAGTGATTCACCTACCTCAGGCTCCCAAGTAGCTGGGATTACAGGCATGTACCACCACACCCAGATAATTTTGTGTTTTTAGTAGAGATGGTTTTCACCATGTTGGCCAGGCTGGTCTCGAACTCCTGACCTCAAGTGATCTGCCTACCTCGGCCTCCCAAAGTGCTGGGATTACAGGCGTGTGCTACCACTCCCAGCCTCCTTGCAGGATTCTCTATGCCTTTGATATCTCTGTCCCTGTCAATCTGGAACCTTGCTGTAACTCTTGATAGGACAGAGAGAAGAGGGAGGTTCTCAGTGAAGGGTTGGTGGCAGCAGTGGGAGTGCGGAGTAGCCTCTGGAAGGACATGGTACTCTCCCCACAGGATGTCTTTGCCTCCCACCCACTCCCCTTAGTCGAGGAGCCAGGACTGTAGCCTCTGAAGCCAGACATCAATGCCAATGCATTTCCCTTGCTGGTGCCCTGGCATCTCAGCACATGACACACACCCACACCTGCAGACTAAGGGAATGTGGCTCCCACTTGGCCTGCTCCCCATCTGGCTGCTGCTGCTGCTGCTGCTTCTCTCCACACTTCCCTTAACAACTCAGTCCCAAACCCAGCCGGGGCACGTGGCTGTTGGCCTGACAGTCCTCCCCAAGCCTCTGCTGGCCAGCTCAGGGCTCACAGCTGCTGGGTAAGCTCTTGCCTAATGAGCTGTGGGAAACAGGGCTGATGCCCCCAGCAGCATCTCCTCTCACTGTCTTTGGTGAAGAAAGTAGCTTTAGACTGGCTAAAAGCTTTAATCCAAAGCCTGACCTCCTCCAACAGTACCAGCATGGAGGGCAGAATGTCCAGGAACCAGAAGGCTGTGGGGACCTGAAGAACAGCACAGTGGGGCCCATGTTGCTGTGGGGGAAACTGAGGCCAGAACCTCAGCAGAGATGGGTGTCAGTCTCTGGGAACTGCATAGGCCTGAGGAATATGAGTTTTCAAGTTGTCCATTGGTAATTTCGTACCTGAATTTCTCACCTTTTGTGAACATCCTGGGAGGATGGGGTTTTGAAGGGATGTGAAAAGCAAGGCCTGGAGCCCTTTCCTCCATCTGGGAGCTCCTTCTGAGGGCCTGACCTCATTTAGGCCACTTTCTAGAGAAATGCCCTGATTTCACGGGAAGGATTTCCCCAGCCCCAAGTGGAAGGAAGACAGTGTGGGCCCCAGAGGGCTCTGGAAACATCTTAGGGGAAGGAAAGGAAAAGGTTAAATTTGGGGTGAGGGTCTCTAAACAGATTACCTGGATTCTGTTCTTTCCTGGGGTTCTACAGCTGCCTAAGCCCTCACCTTGGGGGAGGATCCAAAGGAATAAAGAGGACTCTTGGCTGAGTCTTTGTGCTTCTGTTCTGTCCTGAAGGACTCGTGAGGAGCCAGAAAAGTCTGGCAGCCTCTGGTCCTTGGTTCAGATACAGCATCCGTGAAGCTGCCAGGTATAAGGACAGTCCAGCGGGCATCACCTTCTGGCACAAACCTAGTCCTGATGGCTGCGGAGGGAAGCGGAGGGGACATGGAACAGAAGCCACCAAGGACTGTGGACTGTTGCTTGTGGGCACAGGGCAATGTGGACAGGCCACTGGCTGCGGGTCTATAGTTGTTTGCATAGTTGCTGACACTGGTCCTGACTGCAGGGTCCTCTCGAGGCTGTCCATACAGGCATTGATCAAGGCCAGTTGGCCATAGCAGCTGCCCCTGCCAGCCACACTCAGGCTCTGCAGCTGGTTGCCCAGACACTGATCTGCAGACAGTGGAATGTGAAATCTCTCAAGTCCACCCTGGCCTTCAAGGATGACATCCTTGCCTTGACCACTGTCCAGAATTGTCCAGTTTGTGCAACACTGAGAGCATGGGTTTTGGTGGCTGGAATAGCCACATGGAGTTAGACCAAGACCATTCACCCAGTGGCCTCCTTAGTACCATTTGGACTGCCAGGGGAGACTAGAAAGCACTGCTGGATAAGGCTGGGCTCTGGGGTGATGGTCCCCGAGTTGGTGGTATCTAGGGGTTAGGTCCTGGCCAGCCTGTCCAGTTGGCTTTCCCTGGCTGCGCCTGCTCAGCCAGCTGGGCCCGGCAGTCCAGTAGGTCATCCCGGAGACGGGCGATGTCCTGCGTGTGCTGGGCCAGCGTGCGATTCAGCTGGTCCACATGGCTCCACAGGCCCCCTCTGGGCCTCAGTGGCTCAGTGGGCAAGCTGTCCAGGCCCGCAGCCAGCAGGCTCAGCCTCTTGCACGCACCCTCCACTTGTGCCACCCTCTGGTCAAAGTGGCCCACTGTGTGCTGAAGTTCCTGGGCTATGTTCTGGCAGCGGCTCAGCCCACTGGCCACCTTGGCCATACCAGCCTTGAGTTGCTCCAGCTCCCCCCTCAGGTTCAGGACCTGCCTGTGGCCGGCCTGAAGCCTGGAGCCTTGGCTGCTGACTTGCTCCTGGATGGCGTGGACCTCAGCTTCCACCTTGCGTTCCCGCTCATCCAGGGACGTGTTGGCCACCAAGAAGGCATCAGAGTACTGGCTGACAGAGTCACTGAGGCCCGTGAGTGACTTGCTCACTGAGTTCAGATTAACCTTGAGCAGAGTGATCTCACCTTGAAGTGAGCTGCTTGTCCCTTCTGCCAGCTGTCCCTGGACCTCAGCCACAGTGCCATTGAGCTTCTGGAGTAGTGCTGCGTGGCTGGCCACCTGGCGTAGGAGGGCCTCGCTCCGGCTCTGCCAGGCCTTGACCTCTGCAACGAGGTTGTCCAGGATGGCTGAGGTGGTGCTGGGGGTGCAAGAAGTCTCCAGTGAAAGCAACCGTTGTTCCAGCACGGCCAGCTCTGTCTGCACCAGGGGCCGAGCTGACCTGCCCGGAGGGGCGCTGTCATGGCTTAGCTCCTCAGCCAATGTCGCCAGGCGCTCCTCGAGGCTCTGCATGCGCTCTTCTAGCATGGTCCCGAAGCCGCCCACTCCCCACCCCCCCATCTCCAACCTCAGACAGCACCCCCTTGCTCCACCCTCTGTCCCATTGAGTGTCTCCAAACCATCGAGCAGCCCATCCACACCTCCTTCAAGCATGGCAGCAGAGAGCCTCGTCAGCTCATCCCCGGCCGCGGCACTGGGGCCCCTTTGGGTCTCAGTGACTGCCTGCAGGGTCCTCTCAAGGCCATCCATACGGGCATTGATCAAGGTTAGCTGGCCACAGCAGCTGCCCCTGCCACCCACGCTCAGGCCCTGCAGCTGGTTGCCCAGCTGTGACAGCTCCTGACGCAGGGCCAGCTCCCGGCCATCGAGGCTCTGGTGCAGCCTCCTGCTGGCAGCCTGGCCCTCCTCACATTGGCGCCGAACCTCCTGCACCCGCAGGTCGCACTCACTCTGGACACCTTGCAGCTTCTGCTCGAAGCCATCCAGCAGGCTCCCCCAGAGTCGGTGCAGCCGTTGGTCCACATACTCCTCCAGTAGTGCCAGGGAGGTGAGCGGGGATGGTGGGGCTTCCCGCAGCCGCTGCAGGTGGGCCTCATGGCCAAGAGCCAGCCCATGCACCTTGTCCAGAAGCTGCACCTTGGTCCGAAGAGTGTTGCTCACCTCTGTCACCTTGCTTAGGATCTCATCCAAGGGAGGTATCTGTGGCCCTCTGTCTCTGTCTCCTGGGTCTGCAAGCCCCTCAGGGATGACCCCAAAGCCCACAGGGGCAGCAGGAGCCCTGGGGCCACCAGTCATCCTGTTGGGGTCCTCGTGGCTCGCCACCAGGCCACTGAGGGTACCATATGTCTGTGCCAGGCGCTGGACGTCACCCTCCAGGCGTTCCAGCCGCTCACCAAACAGCCCTGGGCCTTTCCTTCCTGGGAAAGAGAAGAGGGCCCCAGGGGCATTACTGGCCTCAGCCTCAGCTTGTCATACTGCCAGACCACGCAAGAGATTTTCTATTCTAAGCCTACCTTTTCACTGGGCATAACTCCCTCGGCTTTATGGCAGGATGAAGGTGGGGCCTGGGGGTTCCCCCTCCCCATCCCTGCTGGAGTTCAGCCAGCCTGGGGTCAGTCCCCTCCCTGCCCCTGCCACTGAGCCCAAGAAACCTGATCACTTTGGAGGATCTCCTTGGGCAGACTTACCGTGAGGGCTCGGGGCTGCTCTGTTATAGGAAGGGGGTCTGGGGCCTGGGCCCAGCTGCCCCGAGGGAATCTGAGGATCAGGCTCCAGCTGGGGTGGGGCAGCCCCATGGTCTGTGAGGTGCTCAGGGCAGCGTTCCCCAGTGAAGCCAGGACAGCAACGCCAGGCAAGGTCTGTCACCGTCTTGTAGCCAACCTTGTATTTGGGTCTGAGCACTGTGCGGTACCTGGGAGGGGAGGGCAAGAGAGTGGGATCCTGCATTTGAGGGCTGTACTCTTCCCCCTAGCTGGCACTCAGGGCCGCCCCCAGACACTTGCATAAGGCTGGGTGACTCCCCACCTCCAAACCACCCTCAGGGTTTTCATTTTTCTGTGCTTAAGGTGACAGGGGTAGGCTAAGGGCAGGCCTTCCTGGAGCTCACAGCCATGTTAGGGAAGAATGCAGGTAGAAGTCCCACCCATCCTGGTAGCTTGGAGAGAAGCAGGAATTTTGCCCATCACTCCCAAGACCACTTGGATCCCCTCTAGCTCATGCTGCCATGAGAAATGCCACTCAGGCTGCAGTGGCACCTCTGAGAACTCAGACAGAGCTCCAGCCCTCCCTGTGGGCAGGGAGGGGCATTGCCCTGGAGCTGGGGCTGGTGGCCCCCTCACTGCCCTGGGGGCCACTCTTGGCTCCCACCCACTCCCCTTAGTTCTTTCTACTCCTCTCTACCCTGCTGTGGGACCTCAGCTCTGGTCAGAGAGGCTGGTGGACAGGCACCTCTGATGGTGAGCAGGGAAGGGAAGGCCCAGGGTGCAGGCAGGCCCACGAGCATCCATGCCCTCACCTGTTCAGCCACGAAGCTGTTCACCAACTGACACACATGTGAACCTCTCCAAGTACAGACCTGTGCATCCCATCTGCATGCAGCCCCACAGGTCCCCACATTCGGATCCAGCTTCCTCCCCCTACCCCATGGCCTGCCTCCTCATTGTCACCACTCTTCCCTGGGCTGGCCACGCCCAACTGTGGTATGACCCATTGCCTATGGGGCCCTTTGCCCTCTACTCTCCCCTCACCTTCTGCCTGTCTTGTCCTCCTAACCTTGAGCTGCCTCTGCCCCTGGAGCCCTCCCGTTGCCCCGCTGTGACTCCTAGGCTCGAACCCAAGCCTGCCGCTGTCAGTGCAGGTGATGCTCTGTTGCAGATCCGAACCCCTGGGGTCTTCCCTGGCACCCTCCTTTCTGGGGCCTTGGTCCATGCTAGCTTGTATGGGGGTTCAGGTGGGCTCTCTGGAGGCCAAGGAGCCCCTGTGGAGTTGGCAGCTGCTCCCAGCTGAAGGCAGAGTTGGTGCTTGTGCCGGGGGGGATCCCAAGTATGTAGATGAGGAATGCACTCACGTGACTGTCCCGGGGCACTTGGGCCCCCACCCACACTGCCGGTATTCAGCCTTTACGTAGGTCTCCGCTCCCTCCTGTAGGACACAGGTCACGTTCCTGTGCACCACATAGGCACAGAGGGCCCTACAGGAGAAAATGGCATCCCTGGAAGAGCTGGCTGAGCTAGGCCCACAGAGGCTCCTACCCTCCCACTTCTATCTGTGGGCCTCAACAGGGTACCAGACCCCCATGTCTCTTCTGTCGGTACTTTGTTCCTGGGAGCCAAGGTCCTTGGTCTGGGGTCCAGCCCCACTGCTGGTCTCCGAATCCAGCCTCCCTGATGGGTGGCCCCTGGACTAAGCGCTATATGGAACCAGGAGCCTGATCTGGCTGCCGCCCTCTGCCTGGGGAAGAGGCCAGCAGGTATTCTCCCTCAAATGCTCTGCCACAGCCCCCATCCTTCACTGATCCCAAACTCCTTATCTTGGCATTCGAGGCTTCTGAGCCTCCACTTAGTGACTCCTTTGAGAGCACCGTGACTCATCCTTCCTCCCCTGCCTGACTCCCGGGGAAACGCATCTCTCCTTGTCGTTTTGCCTTTGGTCCCGTTCCCTCACTCTCAGAGCAGTTCTTGTACTACGTCCTCCAGGAAGCTCGCTCTGATGTACCCAGGCCCACTGAGTGTTGGTACTCTTCCTCCGACAACAGCTCTCAAATTCAGCTAGAATTCAAGTTCAGCCAGCACCCCAGGCAGAGTCTCTAGCCCACTTAACTGAGGCCAGGTCGCAAGCCACTGCTCACAAAACACCAGAAGCTGAGGCGGGGACGGCAGTCTCCTTAATGAGCCGCAAGGGCTGAGGAGGTGGCTGCCAGGCATGAGCCGACCACTGTG